GCCTCCAACGGGGAAACGGCGCGACTTCGAAAAGTTTTCCTCACTTCAGAAACGATGAAAGCACTTCGTCTCACCAATTTCAGGACTCGCGAAATCATGAATTGAAGATACGAATATTAGAATATTGAGCAATTTTATCAGTGACATTTCTTAAAACACAGTCTTCGGTATCCAACGTCCTTAATCGTATCAAGAATATGCGATGCTTTCATGCGGAATAAAAATTAGACAGTGCCTGGCTTCGGGACACTACAATGAAAAACTTGCACACATGATAACCCCCCCCCCCTTTTCCCCAAGAAAAGACTCGCGACAATAAAGAGTAAATCAAATATCCTCCATGCCTTCTATGATTGAGAAGAAAAAAGATGAATATATCTGATATTGAGGTGATTTCTGAAGCGCTGAAAAAATACAGTGAGACCCCCACATGCGGACACCTTGAGACAGGGACATTTAGTTTTCAATAAAAAAAATCATAAAAAGGCCCAACATAGGGACACTGACTTGACATGAGGACATTGCATGATAAAATTGGCAATAAATTCTAGGAGAATTCACTTTTATTAGGCTTAATTGCGAGAAACAGATACTTCCCACCCTAAGATCGATATAAGAAAAATTTGTTGGTTTTTTTCCCCATCTATTCAGCTAATTTAAAAAAAATTACCTGTAGCACAAAGGGACTTCCTTCTCTTTTTGTGACTTGGATGTTATTTTTACGGATGCCAACATTTCAATGAAGTGTACAATGGTATACTATTCAATCCTCAAAATGTTCTTATTGGGTGCAAGAGATATTCACTAAATCAAATTCAAGTGGCAAACAAATTTTTTTTTCATGGAATTCTGAAGAATATTTCTTCCATAAAACACAAATTTAAATTATAAAATGTAAGTCTGTGGGAAAAAAAGACTTGACTTAAGGACAATTAAAGTTGGGACACTCTTGATGCACCAATTACGTCCACATCTGGGGGTCTCACTGTATTCAAATCAGCACCATCCAATTTAAACCTTAAAGAGTTTATCATATGGAAGTATTTAGGAAACAAATTTATTGCGGCTCATTCTTCTGTTGAGGATTTTTAGAATACTGTATTTCAAGTGACAAAAATCCAATACTAATCCAGATGACGCACAGATATCAAGGAGCACAGCAATAAAACACTAAATGCAAAGGGTTCATGAAAGCAAATTGAAACCTTTCATCTAGATCGGTCATAAAAGAGCACCGTCTATGCAGATCATGAAAACTAATCTGCGGTTAGAGCCTTCCTTGTGCTCTTGGGAAAGGCAATCCCCAAGTAAATAAAAACTCCCTGGAACTTTCAAAAGTTTTGGAAGGAAAACTTTCTCAAATATGGTCGTGATGGGCAAATAAAATTCTTGAGAACTTTCAGGTGTGTGAAGATTGAAGGCTTCGTCGAGTTGTATTTTTTCAGTCGAACATTTAAATTTTCAATTCTTTTCATCTGTGGAAATTTTGTCAACAGCAGGATATTCTCTGTGTACCCCTTTGGCTCATGCGCAGCACACAGAGAACTTGTGCCTGCCGATAATTCTTATTTTATTTTTCGCATTCATTCCTGCGTGGATGCAAAGAGCAATTAATCGTGGGCAACATTTTGAACAGAAAGCTGAATATGATCACTCATCGCAATTTTCATCCTGTGCCATTTGACTTTCATAGATGAATAATTCATTCCATTGATGATTTATGCGTGACTTTTTTACTTCAATGAACTCCTGCACAGAGACTTTTAGTTTTCTAAATCACAAATTAGAGCATTAAGTACAGTATTTATTACAGAACTCTTTTCAGACTTTCGTCAGACAGCAGGGGAATATATAATTGGAATTTCTTCGTAATAGTGACGGATGTTGCATCACGCCGATAAAAAAACTGTAGATTAATTTCATGCCAATACACTAGTTCCAAAGTTTAAATCTATCCATTCACTTTTTCATGAGAAGTAAAATTTTGAAGGAAATTATTAAAAGCTCTTTGATTTGTAATTCTTCCCACATTGGATTATTGCATTTATTGTCCTCCATGTTCGTTTATGTGCTATTGAGCCTTTTTCAAGATCTATCCTCTTTTAAGAAAATCCCCAGCGTCATTATTATTTTATTCAAATTTGCGTTCCAGTACTTCCAGATGCCTCTTATGAAGTTCAAGCTCCAAATATTATAAGGATCATCACATATGTGCTTGACGAAGGGGCCATATGTGCCAGAACCAGATTTCAAAGGCCAAAGTTTGACTCTCAGCAGCAGGAGCATCGGATCACAGCAAAAGTAAGTTTCTTCGAATATCTACAGCACGTTAAATTTCAGCAGTAAAAATGAAACTGCAACTCTTCTCAATCAGAACCAAACAAAGTTTTCACAAACTCCTCCCACAATGCCCCAGGGGTGCACCACCAGAAAGGGAAATGAAGTGCAGAATGCTTTTTTTTTTTTTTAATGCAAACACATCCCTATCGAACAGAAACTTTCCAGATGGCTGTAATCGACAGGGTCGGGAAACACTTTATTTTGCTCTCCATGCATATGTCTCTGTCCCACCGTTGAGTATAGGCTGTTGAGAGAATTGCTTCTTGTAAATACCTGATGCTTGTTGAAGCTACTGCTCCTGATGTCAGCTTACGAGTTTATTCGCCGGGTTTGCGATACCAAAAGATAGGAATTTATTCTGATCCCGAGCGTTCAATTTTAACCCTGAACAAACTTCTTCTGGGCCTTTTCCCGTTTTTCTTTTATAACAGCTTAAAACGTATTTGATTACTGGAAGAAAATACTATAGGTAAAAAGGTATCCTCAGCAAAGAAGCTTACAAAAAGCTTACCTACAGCACTGCATATGAGACAAGAGAATAGGGGATCACGGATTGATTTCTCCTATTAATTACACTTGTTTTCTATCCATATTCTTATTTTTTCAGAGCAGTCCTGCTGACTCCTGCAGTTTGCTTGAGTGAATAAAGGCGTGTGTTTTGTCAATCTCTGTTGATAAAGATGAACGAAAAGAGAGAACATTTTATTATAGGCGTGGAAACGAATCCTGATGTATTATTTCGATGGATATCCAAGGTATGCAACCACCAAAAATGACAAATGGGCCGGGCTTAGGGTCCACGATATTTGGAGTATACTGTAATTATTGCGGCTGGCCGCGTATCAGAGGAGCACTTTCGCGCCCAAAGCTTTTCTCTTGACTCCGTGAAAAACAGCATGGTAGACGAAAGAAATAACTAAAATTGTGTTCGGAGTAAGGAGGACTGAGGGGGTATACGTGCCGTCCTGAAGCCTTGCCATTTTGTTTATCGAAGAGATATATCACACACAGATTCACAGAATGTGGATGACGTGTTGTACTTCACTAGGGAATCGCAATTTTTCCTCGTTTCACAGGGTAGGACCGTTTGATGATAGCGAGACCAGCTTTTCCGTAGGTCTAATGACGAAATCGAACCCTGGAAGACGGATGAAGTCATCAATCATATTCAGCTCGAAGCACGCCTCTGTGTGTTTTCAGCACGTCCTTGAAGCAGCCAGCGAAGAGAAAAAATAAAATAAACAGCCCAGACAGCGTCCGCGGGTGGCGCGAAAGGAAAGATGTCGGACAAGATAATCCGCACGGACCAAGCATGCGGCGCCAAGCCCTCGGGCACACGCAATCGTCACGCGTCAATCCATACCCACCACGAGCCGGGATTCCGCGGAGGGTACGCGTGAGCACGCAAGGATCAAAGGGACTAACACGCATCCACGTCCCCCTCACCGCCATGATAAATACTGCATTGAGATTGGACAGACAATGCCAACTTGCCGCGGTTACCGGGATTCCCGCTCGTTCGCGCTTTGGAAATCGGGGAACTTGGAGAATTGACTTCGTAGATTTGTCGATCTTGCAGAAACATTCGTATCAGCGCGATCTATTAACGGTTATTAAAGCGTGACACCGGAGTATCATCACCAATTTTCCTCTCATTTGCGTTCTATAGTGAAAATTTGCAAAGCATTTCTCGAATCAAGTGACGAACGCCTTATTACAGGATGTGGTAAGAAAGCAACCCAAGACTAAATTATGAACTGAATTCCGCAGCGAATATAACATTTGGATCAACAGTTAGAAAATGATCCAGCGATTCCATCACCAGTAACAAGAAGGAGTGAATGCCGGAAAATATTACCATGATCTTAGGCAATAAAATACTTCCCTGCAGGAGAAATCTTCTCAGCCATAAAATAAAAACGGAACATCAGTTTTTGTTTTACCAACCAATCGAGTGCTGATGAATGTGTGTTGAGTGCTTTCACATGCTCAAGGTGACTAAGAAACAACATAGAAAATGTTTTTTCCAGAACCTCAATTACTTTCCTGATATCACTGGACTCGAAATATGCTCGAATGACGCGCTCGTCCTTTCCAAAACACTGAAGTCACAACAACGGCAAAGTTAACTACAGCTAAATGAATCATTTCCGTTCATGTGAAATTTTCCCGTTCGATGCTCACTTCAGTTATTAATGTTGAATTTCCGGAAGTATGAGACATATCCCTTCCATGCTTGCAGCACCGTTGAGTACACGTAGCCAAATTACCCACGTGGGTGTGTATTCGTGACGTGACGGTTGACGCGTTCCGCGAAGTTCTTGAATTCAAGAGAAGTCCGGGTTAGCTACAGATTGGACCTAATTTTAAAATGGTGAGTTCAATCGCCGTTTTTATAACTTTCTCTATGGATATGACGGAGTCGCTAAATTTTATTTCTTGGTTTCACAGAGCTCAAAGGGTTTGTTCGAACGAATTTGGGGGCACCAGTTCATGGAAGTCGACGTCATGCCCCGACCCGTGAAACTAACGCTACCCAAAACTGCTTACAAACCGAAAAGTCCGGCAAATACAAACGTGAATGCCTCAATTCGAAGGGACCACAATTTGAATACAAGGAAAATTAATAAGTGAAGAAAAATAAGGCCACGAACGACTGGTATCCTTTGACGGGAGGAGAGATGTATTTGCTTCGAATACAAGACGACGCATCCTCACGCGAAGAAGAGAAATCAATCGCTGAACTTTCGTCTTCCGCCCATCACAGCTTCGTCAATCCTAGCTTACTGGGATCTACCGAAGGTAAAAACTGCTTCGCGTATTTCACTACGTGCGACGCATGAACGGGGTTGCCGACAGGGTTTTCCAACAGAATCATTGCTTGATCGCCATTGTCGGAAACTTCGATAAATCTGAAAATACAAGCAGCGTCATTTCACAGATTTTTTTTATTCTTTCAATTTATACCCACTTGCTGAAGGGAGCGTCCGACACCGGAAAGCTGAACCCATTGATATTTCTTCCACGAGGCACCACGAGAAGAGTCTTAGATTTGAAATCTAAACGTCTTGAAAATAAGTCCTGGACCAAACTTGGACTGCCGCAGCTCAAATCGTAGAACTCAATCGGAATAGTCCCGAAGTATTCACACAATCGTCGAACCTATGAACACGAATGGTTAAAATATAATCGACGAACGAAGGAAGAACCCATGTCACGTACAGAATTTTCGAAATCAGCCTTATCGGCAAATCCCGCTCGACGCGCAGGATTCTCCAGGAGTATCGTCCCTTTCTTGACGTCACTGCCACACAGCCACACCAAATTCAGGAATCTGAAATAACATTCAACTGAAATCCCGATCTCAACCAACGTCATAAAAGTTGTAAAATCTCACCGACATCCGTTGCAACTCGTTGCGCTACCAGCTGCATTACGTCGTAAAACCAAGTGTAACGAAGACCCTTTAAGCTGAAAATTGAATATGATATTAGTTGGCGCAGAATTTTAAGGGCTGTACGCGAACCACAAGCAAGCTTACGTCTTGTGTTTCTTGGATGAGAACGTCTCCAGAGAATTCCGACAGAGGAAGAACTGGAGCTTTGATAGATGATGCGATGAGGGCTTCGCGATGTTCCTCAACCACCCGATCTAGCTCACTACCTTTCGGCTTGACCTTAATTCAACGATCGTATAAAACGCAGCACAACATAAGTAACAGATGTTGAGTAAGAAATTATGCTGCACATGAACATACCTCGTAAAATACAGAAATCGGATCTGTGGGCACAAGCTTAGCTTTCTTCCGCAGTTTTTGGATGCGATTTATGACTTCTCTGGCAGTCCCTTCATCCTGCATGCCTTGATCGGGAGTAATGTCCACTAAAATCAACACTTGCGAGTCCCAATGGGCGGAATAGCGTGCTTTCAGTTCTTCGGCTTTGCTGCCTTCGAATGCGTACATAATCCTCAGTGCATCTGTTTCCAGTACATGTCCTTCTACTTCGAGTTGTCCGTCAACCAAGAATTTGTGCAGATCTTCGTCGCTAAGAGCCTATTGAAACAAACAACTGAAGAAATCTTGAAAATATCCAACAGGATTCACGTATGAGAACCTTGATCTTCGCCATGACTTTCTTCAGATCTCCTTTCAGGCGATTACCAAGCACTCGGAAATCAGGCTCGGCACGAAGACACACACCGTATTTCCCTTTATCGCTGCTTGTGGTGATTTCCTTGACATTCAATTCCTCTTGCACGTAAGATTTGAGCGAGCTTATATCTTCCAGAAACTCTTTCTCCATATGTATAACGACCAGTTCAGGAAGTGGATACTGAAAAACAATTTATGAATAAAAACACGAGCACGTGGTTCAGAGAGTACAAGATGCTTCACCTTCAAGGGGATAGTGTTTCGGTCACGCACGACCCTACCCAGGTCGATTATCGATTGCATTCGTGACACCGCTCGTTCAACGTCGATATCGATCAGCTCGAACCTGGGAAATAAATTTCTCCGTTGATGGTTTGAAAGAGTAAGACAAATACGACGTAAACGTCGATGGTAGGAAATCCTCCCCGTACGATGAAATATTTTGTTCTTCGCCCAAAAGGCACTTCATACGAATTAGTCAAAATACCTCCGATGACAGGCGATTACAACACATGTTAAGCAGCAAACAAGGTTACAAATTCGAACACAGAATCTTTATAGATTGCTCTTCGAAAATCGCATTTATGGCAGAATTCCTGAAACTGAATGCACATAGATAAATAATTCAATGAAGACTTTTATACGCTTCATAAAGCAACAGCGAATTTTAAAATGGTCAAGACTTACCTTGGCTTCGGAAGCATCAAGTAATGTACACTACGAATATCTTCTTCTTTTCTTCCTTCCAGAGTCCAACAATGCCTCAAGGTTTGATACATAGTTTCTGCCAAGAAGGGGGTGAACGGAGCCATCATTCGGACGAGGGAGAAGATAACTCCGAAGAGTGTTAAAAGCGCATTATGATTATCATGGATGTCGGTCTTCCCCTGAAAAAATAAAATTTGATTAAGGTCAAGACCCAGAAGATAATTTTGCAACTAACCTTGAGCCGATTTCGATTCATTCGCACGTACCAGTTGGTCAAGTTATCAACGAATTTCACCAACTTTGGAACCACGGTGTACAAGCGGTAGGCCTCCATTTCTGCATGGAAGAATTCCAAAAGCGACTGCGTGAAGCTCATGATCCAACGATCCATGGTGTTGGTCGACAAATGCACCTGTCTTTCGTCGAAAACAAAAAGTTCGCCTTCCTCCTGCAAAAAAAAAAAAATCAACATGAAGTCAATACCGAACGATCCGCCGGGGCCGAACTCATCCGAAGACTCAATGAGATCATGCCAGACGTCAGAACATGCAAGTTCTGGAAAACGAAAGCCAAGAACATCCGATTAATCAATAGCAGACCGTTAACTATCCAAGAAAAAATCTAGTCAAGACGGTCGAGAGTTACGATAGGTGATCTTCGAATTCATTACTCACCTTTTCCAGGCGCTCCAGATTCTGCATCAAGAATCTAAAGGCATTGAACCATGGGAGGAACACGTCCTTCAGTATATCCCGCACACCCTCTTCTTTAAATTTTAGACTTTCTGCCCGCACGACGGGAGAATTGATCAGATACAGCCTCAAGGCATCGGCGCCGTATTTATGAACAATCTCCATTGGATCCGGATAGTTTTTCTTACTCTTGGACATCTTCATGCCGTCTGCTGCAAGGACCATGCCATTCACTATGAGATTTTTGAACGGGGCTCGCCCATGGATAAGGGTTCCGATGACCAGAAGCGTGTAGAACCATCCACGCGTCTGATCTAGACCCTCCGCAATAAAATCTGCGGGAAAGCTTTCGTCAAATTCCTTTTTCCTCTCAAACGGATAGTGCACTTGAGCGTAAGGCATGGAACCCGACTCGAACCAACAGTCGAAGACTTCGGTCACACGACGCAAGGGAGGTTGACCGGGACGTTTTGAAGGAATCGTGAGTCCATCTACACTGTGATATAATTCGAAAACAAAATTTGACGTGAATTCTTCGCAGATAGAAATATATCTTTTGTGGCAATACAGTATCTCCAAAGAGGCAACGCTTGAAGTGATAAGCATACAGGTACTCTACGGTAGTACAAATGCACGATAATTACATTTTTAGAAGTTCATTTTCTTGTTCGTAGAAACATTGGCTTTCCAGCATTTGTTATATTCGACCAATTGAAGAGGGTTAAGAAAACGAGAATCGGAAACCAAACTAAAGACGGTTTTCAAACTCACAACTCGCGATGAAGGTCCGAGATCTTTTGGCCAGTCAAGGCCTCTAATTCACTGATACTCCCGATGCAGACGACTTCTTCAAAATCCTCAGAAACCCACAAGGGGATAGGTGTTCCCCAATAACGATTACGGCTCACAGCCCAATCTCTCGCTTCCTTCAGCCAGTTACCGAAGCGTTTTTCTTTTACAAAATCGGGAACCCTGAACGAATAAGAAGTTGTAATTAACAGAAAAGCGGTCAATCAATGGGCATCTCACCAGTAGGTATTGGCCGTAGCTTTCAACAAATCTTCTGAATGATCCTGAACGCGGATGAACCACGAAGGCACAGCTTTATAAATCAACGGCGTGTCAGAACGCCAACAGAACGGATACGAATGTTTGACGGTTCCAACATGCACCAATCTACCCATACTTTTCAGATGCTGAGTTATTTTCTTGTCCGCATCCTACAAAAAAATGGCATCTCACCAATCGGATGAAATAAACCAAGTTGTCCAAAAGCCGTACCTTAACATGCATACCAGAAAAGTCGGGAACTTCTGAACTGAAACATCCAGAATCATCAACTGGGCAAATAATCTCCATGTCTTTGGTAATGACGCCTGCAGACAGGCACACACGATAATCATCCTCGCCAAAATAAGGTGCCTGGTGGACAACACCAGTACCAGACTCTTCCGTGACATATTCGTCGTTCAGAACACGGAACGCTCCTCTTTCCTTCATCTGTTCGGGACAAAGCATTGTCAAGCACTGGAAGGCATAACTTTCATGAACAAAATTTAAAAATGAACCTTCGCGAAGTACGGGAAAAGCGGCTCGTAAGCTTTTCCCAGTAATCTAGATCCCGGAAAGGTGTCGATCAGGGCGTACTCCGCTTCACTCTTGTACAAAGAAACCAGTCTCGATTGCATCAGGATGAATATTTTCTTCGAAGCTTTGTCTAAAACAAGACCATGCACAATAACTGATCGACATGAAGAGTGATAAATAACTTACCTTCTACCTTGGCGTAAAGCAAGTTCGGATTTACACACAGCGTCAAATTCGATGGTAGGGTCCATGGGGTAGTCGTCCAAGCGACTAGGCTCACTTGCGGATCTTCCTCCAAAGGAAAACTCACCATGACTGTCAGAAACATCGTCATTTCATAAAAATAATGATTCAAAAATATATCAGAGGCATACCAGCAGGATCAACAACTTCCTTGTAATTTTGACCGCTCTCAAAATTGGATAGTGGCGTGTGACATGCGGTTGAAAACGGCATCACCTTTGATCCACGATAGACCAAACCCTTCAGGAATAACTGCTTGAATACCCACCACACTGATTCCATGAACCACGGATACATAGTCTTGTAATCGTTCTTGAAGTCTAAAGTACAACAATAATAAGCCATCAAATAATGGAGGATTAAACCAGAAGTCTTACCGATCCATCTACCAATGCGTCCCACAATATCTTCCCAATCCTTCGCATATCGCATCACTATTTTCCGACATTCCTCGTTGTACTTCGCAATACCCATTTCGGCAACTTGCTGAGGTGTTTTAATACCGAGAGCTTTGTCAATTTCATATTCCTGCGGAAAAGATTCCATCCGAGTTTTTACATATAAATGACTGTAAAGTTACATACAATTGGCAGTCCGTGAGTATCCCAGCCAAAACGACGTTCTACGTGAAAGCCATTCTGGTGAGCGAAACGCGTGACAATGTCCTTGATTGTTCCTGCCAAGATATGTCCGTAATGAGGAAGCCCAGTTGCGAACGGGGGCCCATCGTAAAACGAGAACCTGCAAAGAAACTCCGCTCAGGAATATGCCCAATGCGAATGATAAAAATTATTTACCTCGGACGTCCTTTCGAGTGTTTCAGAGAAGTCTGAAAAACATCCCACTCCTTCCAAAGCTGCAGAACTTTCTCCTCCTCCACAGGAAAACTGATGTTCTCCGGAACTCGTTGCACAACCATGGCGGGACACCGGAGTTCCAATGACAAGAAACCGAACGATTTAGAACATCTGTTACAAGCCGGACGATTTCAGACGAATTCAGGAGGGAAACAAAGTGTCAAACCTAGAAAATAAAATTCAAGAAAAGGAACGCGTTTTCTTTTTCCACGATCGCGTTTTAGATGAACAAAAGTTCAAAACCCATGTGGTCAGAATCGAAATGTGAAGAGTACATTTCAGAAATCACACCGTCATTTCCAAGCACACCACGGAATCCGCAATCCAGCATGAAGATCCGCATCGGCGATTTCCAAAGTAACAAAAATTAGACTGAATCTTCTCGGGTAAATGGTTGGAAGCGGATTATAGTAATAGCAACAAACAACCAAGTGCATCCAGAACTTCAACAGATCTCGCATTTGAATAACTTGCAAGTTCAGCGAAAATAGTAACCAGGAGGGAAGTGGACTGAAAATTCGGAAATACGCGAATTGCTTCATGGTGGATGTCAGACTAATAAATACCCGTAGTAGTCGAATATGAAAGGAAATTTAGTAGGCGGCCACTAGAAGACAAGCTCACTTATGATCACTACGTGAGAACGCCTCCTGTCTTGCTCCGGAGCATCTTCCGTCGTAATATCACTTAGAATTGCATCAGCCACCGGCTTTGTAATCGCCGTCCCACGCGGGGCAAGTTTGGGGATCGCCTGTTCGCGCAGCTTCACAGGCCCTTGTCCAGCATTTTCACAAAGGGGGGACAAGAAAAACGAGAACAAATTTTCACACACAAAATGTAGATGTCACTGAAATGGCTGTTAGTGTACACGATTCGCTTCGTGCCGCACGTAGACGACCAGCGCGGAACACGAACACGTCATACCTATTTTAATGGATAAAAATGTTTTTTTCGAAACTCAAAAAAAGGGAAAATGTCACTATGTCAGCATTGAAGTTCAACATGCATCTGCGAGAGCATGATTGCTAGCCTCATGCAAGGATGTAATCTAAATACTGTACAATATTCTAAAATGTCTTCCGAAAAAAGATATTTCAGGCGAACATGTCCTTGATGGCTATGATTTTTTTCAGATATTATCATTGCTGCCTCCCAGAACACTTGTTTAAAGTACAGTATCATCAATTAATCCATAGTCAGAAATCTCATAAAACAAAAATAACTATAAATTGCTAAAAGGTTATGACGTACCAGCATACAATACGTAACAGTGCTGCTGTACACGTAAATGAACAGCAGTACGTAGAATTGCTGTTTACATTTGCAATGCCACGAGCTGTCTCCATTATTGATTTCCCATTGCTGTGTCGTCGCGTCCTGACATCATCTGCATGAATTTAAAATTCAATTGAGTCCTTGCATGATCCAAAGTTCTGGTTTGCGCAACATTTATTTGTCTATAATTATACTGTGCATCATGCGGATCCGAAGAAATGCGCAGGACTGAGCGCACACAATGATGTGCACCCAAAACTGACAGAAAAATACACCACGCACGAGGTCCAACCACGCAAGTGGGACTATAGTGGGTATACGACCGTTGCTCATCCGTGTGTAACTGCGTGCAAGCATTGTACAACAGTACTTCACATTCACGTACTGGGTTTGATCAGTGGATGATTTGTAATGTACCTGGTCCAAGAACTCGGCGCCACATGAGTGCACAGTATCACTGTGCGTGTGCAAGTCCCGATTGGTGCCACCGCTGCAATGCTGCGTTAAATCAAATAAGTGGTCCTTGGCACCCTTGGGTGACCTAAAGGACAAATCCGTGAATTTAAAACATTATTCTGGGAGCATCCCAACAGCATATTCCCTCTCAGCAGTGTCCCTATATTCCATGCTACTGCACAATTTCAAAAAATAAATGAAAGAATTCCCGAAGGTTAAATCAAATGGTGCTTAAGAAATAAACCCTCTGTCGGCTCCACAAACTTATGGCTCATTTTATACATATCCCGAAACCTTGATGCCGGCACTCATCATGTCTCAGTTAAACATTTCTGAATCAACTTATTTGAGCAATATGTTTCCGGCAGTACAGCATACACATAGTACATCAGTTGATTCAATATCAAATACAACTAAAAAGTCCCCAAGAATCCCCATCAGTAAATTAGATGGACCGCACAGAGCACATCAGAATAACGCACGTGAAATACAGTACTGTACTGTACTTTCAATATATTAATGCGACTCTATTGAAGGGTAATTTTAACATCCAAGGAGTGAGGATGCTCCAGCTTCTTTCATTTTTCTGCAGTCATAATGTAGTTTTGTACTTTTAAAATTAAATCCCCTTGGAGGCTGGGTAACTGCCTCAGCACTCAGATGTCTCTTGTATCTGGAATATTTTTAATGCAGTTTAAAATCTGCAATACATAGTACATCAGTTGATTCAATATCAAATACAACTAAAAAAGTCCCCAAGAATCCCCATCAGTAAATTAGATGGACCGCACAGAGCACATCAGAATAACGCACGTGAAATACAGTACTGTACTGTACTTTCAATATATTAATGCGACTCTATTGAAGGGTAATGATGCGTCCGAGATCGATACAAATTTTAAATTAATTTCGGATCTACTGAATCTTTGTAAAAATCCTGCTTCAAGGACCTTTACCTTTAAGTGCACGTTAGTATTTTGAAATGTACATAATATGTGACTTTATTTGTGGATTGTTGCCGACAAAAAGGGAATTGAAGGTTCGATATTTTGTATTTCAATGATGGTTGCGTATTTCAGACTGGAATCATTATACAGTAAGTTCCAAGTTTGAAAATGGGTAAACGTTTCCGCTCACCCTGAGCATAGATATTTGTTGTACCTTGGTACATGTGATTCGCGTGGGGAAATGGACATTGGAAAATGAAAAATGCTCTTCTCGTGATGATTGCTGCTGAGTTGATTTTCTCATCAATTTTTGCGGCATAATATTTCCCCCAGAACGTTTTCGCTCTGTCCCGCAGTAAAGATGGTCCGAATACGACAAGAATCAAATCGCGAGTGAACAAACGCTGTAATTAATTTGACGCTGATGAGCCAGGGAGTTGTTCCAATGTAACTGGTCGGGAGAGACCCACTGTGGCAGTTTGCCCTCGCGGCATTGTGCTGTTTTTCTGGCTCCGTTTTCCGCGCGTGGTTTTTGGGGGGCGCTGTGCCCCACCAGCACCGCTTGGGAGCTAAACCCTTGGCGGGAAGACACGGGCGGGAATTTCGGGACATCCTGACGTTTCCTGACATTCAACACTCGGGAATGAGCTGAGGCGTTGCATTTCGTCGTGTTTCTCGCTGACCATGATTTTCTTCGTGAAACTGAGAAATTATAAGGTGCGGAAGAATATGACAGAAATCTCAAGTGTATCAAAAAAAATTCCCTTCTGAAATGACTGTGCTCGCATACACAAAACATCGATTTCTGCATTTCAATTAAACAAAAAAGTGCAGGCATCAATCAGGAAGGGGGCTCCACTGGTTTTCTGCGCTCCGCTTTCATGGATAATTGAAAAGTGTCTTGAAGAAAATTTGTTTTAAACCGAATAAAATAAATATGACCTCTACCAAACATCTGCTTTTACATTTTCGCACCAAATGATCTTGGAAAGGAGATTTGACTGTTTTTGGGCTCAAATAATAAGGCATATTTTTTTAGTAGAGTCAAATGTATTTAAATGACCGCTTGTAAACCACCTGGGGGGCGCTGTGCCCCACCAGCACCGCTTGGGAGCTAAACCCTTGGCGGGAAGACACGGGCGGGAATTTCGGGACATCCTGACGTTTCCTGACATTCAACACTCGGGAATGAGCTGAGGCGTTGCACTTCGTCGTGTTTATCGCTGACCATGATTTTCTTCGTGAAACTGAGAAATTATAAGGTGCGGAAGAATATGACAGAAATCTCAAGTGTATTAAAAAAAATTCCCTTCTGAAATGACTGTGCTCGCATACTCAAAACATAGATTTCTGCATTTCAATTAAACAAAAAAAGCGCAGGCATCAATCAGGAAGGGGGGTCCACTGGTTTTCTGCGCTCCGCTTTCATGGATAATTGAAAAGTGTCTTGAAGAAAATTTGTTTTAAACCGAATAAAATAAATATGACCTCTACCACACATCTGCTTTTACATTTTCGCACCAAATGATCTTGGAAAGGAGATTTGACTGTTTTTGGGCTCAAATAATAAGGCATATTTTTTTAGTAGAGTCAAATGTATTTAAATGACCGCTTGTAAACCACCCGCATTGCAATGGTTTCTCTGTCAAATGATGAGACCAAAATGTTTTCAAGTGTTTTATACAGACTCAGATTATTGAAGCTTCGAGAATTTCATGTATGCTGCATTTAGAGGAAGTCGGTTTTGTATTGTTTGGGCTCGTGCCAAAAAAGACCGACGTTTATATACGCAAAATGGTCCCTGGCCCTCAAGCTGTTTTTATCTCTCCGAAAAGGGACCCCCAAAATCTATATTCGATGCGATTTTATGCGGTTTTTCCATGGCTGCGATGGCAATCATCTGTCAGCAGAGTGTTTTTGATTCTGTGATTTCGCTGTGTACCTCCCATGATGGTGGAAGCGATGCCGTTCATGCAGGCGTTTGGTTATTGTTCACAGTTATGATGAGTACTCGTCCGAACGCTCGTATATAGAAACCTCGACATTTCTTGATCATCGCTTCCTTCCGGAAAGACAAATGCCGATTTGAAAAATTAAAAAACACAGCGAATTTTGTAGCGATTGCTACGATTGGTTGCATTTTCCTTTTCTTGAACGGGACTCTTATACGAATCCCTCTCCATCAATTGTTATACGGAAACAATCAGAATAATCAGAATGGTCAGCAGATAAAGTGTCGGGATTCACAGCTCCTATGTAAACAAACTCTTCGTTAGCCGTAGTTTATTCACAAAAATATACTGTAAGCTTCAACGTGATTCCGTCGAGCTAGAGATATTTTCAGGAAAAATCGAAAAACGCCATGAAAATTAAAGCAAAACGTAGAAAAACCCCCGGCTCTTACCGTCCCATTATCCTATACTGTACTGTAATACTAAAAAAAAGACAAAAACAAATTGAAGACCTGTTTTGTGGTTGTTAACCGGAAAAAAATGGAGCCATTAAAAAGCCACCAAAGTATGGTGGGAG